AGAGCTGGGGCTTATAAGAATAAAAGTTTATATATAGGCTCTGTAAGGTTACAATCCGGCTATAGTACACCACCAAATTTGGTGGTACAATAAGGCTTCGATTGGTTACCACGTTTGCAAACGAGATACCTTTCAACCGCCCGTTTGTTACCAATCAAACGATCGTTTGAACGGGTGGTTGAAACGGTCGTTTGCAACTTCGTTTGCAAACGGACTTTTGATAAAAAGGTCGTTTGAACTAGACATGGATATTCGGATAACCATTCAACCGCTACAATGCTACCAATCAAGCTTATATTGAACTTGTTCTTTACTATTCAACCGCCTTCTCTAACCACTGATTCTAACCGTCTTGTTGCAAACGACCCACTATTCAACCGCCCAAAAACTTTCAACCGCTCGTTTAAAACGGAGTCATCAATCGGACCCTAAAACTCTATCACACTAAAATGCCGTTTTTGTTACCGTCCGATTGGAGAGCAAAAAGTCAAAAATCGACACTAAAATGCCTTTTTGCCGTCACAACACAACAAAAATCACATATTTATATTTTTTATTATTATCTATTATATAAAAAGAGGCCAACACTCCATATGGAGGACACATGGCGCTCCTTTTAACTGACATCTGTCCCGTGTATTTTAACTTTTCAGTCTTCTCGATTTCTCGCAAGGTTTATTTTCGTGCCTTCCTTCATCCTCTATATCCCGTGATTGTGTTGAAACTTGTAAGAATTAGGATGGAAATTCATAGTGGATATTCTCATGTGGCTTGAATCGATTCACATGTATGTGAAATTGTGAAAATAAAAACAGCTCTTTCTCTTTTCAATACCATAAATTAGGTGCTTTATGCTTTTTATCTTCTCTGTCCCAAACCAATTCTTATTATAGTTCAATGATGTTGAAGTCTTTAGCTACATGAAAGATCACCACAGACGTGCAGACGATTGATGTGAACGAGAGGGTATCAACGGCAAATGATTGATGCATGTATCTATCTTTGTTCTCTTTCACTCTCATGTTCGACCACGTCATATTTGAGCATCAAATATACAAATCATCAAGAGGCTTCGTTTTTGGTATGTAAAAAGAATCGAATCGTTCGCAGTGACCACCTTGGCTTCATGTTTTCTCGATTTCATCAGAGAATTTCGCAGAAATTTCGGAAAAAAAAATCCCAATTTCATATCTTGGGTTTTGGTTGTTCTTACCAAAAGTCGTTTTTTCGTTGTATCTTTGGTCAATATATTTTGAAATTGATATCAAATTCTTCTTCTTCCTTACCTGTTGGGTTTCACTAGGATTCAGGTGTTGGTTTGCTCTGTAATTACATTCCCTTTAGGATTTGAAACTTGTGCCAAATGCTCTCACATTATTCTAACTGATCCTTACTGTAAATTTTTTTTTTTTAGTCTCAAGGCGCTTCTGCTTTTGATTTGATTAAACATGATTCAGGTTCACCGCCAGTGAATAGAGGATGGAATTGCCGTTAATGCGAAGTAGATCCAAATGTTAGATCAAAGTGAAGGAGCTCATGGATAGATCCAGTTAAGCATATCTCTTTCTCTATCTCTCTCCTTTGATCCAAATTGATTTTATATTTCTTCGATTCATATTTGACAAACAGAGAAAAGGCAAGACTCTAATTTTGTGTGTGAATTGTTGTGAAAATGTAATAGCTACTTGATGAAAGATATCGTATTTTTGTTTGGATAGCTCATTTTATCTAAAAACGTTATAGAACATTAGATTAAATTCATCTCTTAGGACAAATATTATAGACTTGTGAAACTCTCTGGGTATGCAGGTTAGTGATCTTGCAATAGATTATTTCAAAATGTTCTTGTTGATTGTACCAGCGACTGTTGTAGCGACGGGTTGCAAGTACTTTGGCTCTAAGTTTTAATAAGTTCTCTGTTTATTGATTTTAATGTTTTCTTCAATTGCTCACCAGGTTATTCTTTCTTGACGACCTTACGGGTTTAGAAATCACATATCTGCTCCAGGTTTAAAAAAAATCTTGACTCTTCTTTTATGGTTTTGAGGATATCATATCCGTAGCCAGTCCAATTTTTTGCAATACAAAAAATAACAACTGCAGCTTCTGGAACCATTCAGTTTTCATTTTCACTTGGTTCGCTGCGGTTCCTACAATTGTATATCTGGCGCTATCACTCACCAAACTCAACATCAACGACTTCTTAATTTTGAAGGTACAACCACTAATTTATATTCTCAGATTAGTTCTTGAACTGGAAAACGAAAGGCAACGGAACCAAATCTTGTTTCCAGTAATAAATTGTCCTTAATTGCTATATATTTATGTCGTACCTTTCTCTGATTTTATGTTAGAATCCTGCAACAAGGAGTACCTTTACAAGACTAGAAACCCTCAATGGGCGACCTCTTGGCCCATATGAAGAACCTCCCTAGATCACCTATGCTACAAGTGGAAGGACAGACAAACTTAGAATTTTAGGTGTAAAAAACAGAGGAAGCATGAGTCTGTACTACCAGTGTCAAAATATCTAAGGGAATTCTTTAAATTTGAATGTTCAAACGGAGAGGTCGTTGTGATTCAGACCACTAATTATAAAAAGATGATTAAGTTACACCACCCTCCATAATGTTTTGTGGAATTGGTTCTGGAAAGGAGGAGAATAGCCGTAGGAGTTAGCTA